AATTCAATCAATAAGCTTCTTCTTTAATGCGCTTTCCCTGGGTAATTTCTAAAATTCTCTTAATGCTAACTAATAGCTGTGTGTCAAGGACATTATGCTTACATCTCAGTCTGGACCTCTTCCAGGAAACACTACAATTTGTATGTCTAAGATATCCCTGATAGATCCCTTTAAATGCTGAAAGATCAACTTAAAATTAATCTATTTGAAACAAAACTCTAGATTAATTGTGTAACACTACTCCCACCTACTCAAAAGCAGGTATTTTTATCCATCACATCTTTCTTAGCCCAGTGAGATTTCCCACTCTTTCCAAATTAACCCAAAACCTTGGCTTTGTTCTTGGTGACATCATTGAAAGTAAACATTACTTAGGGACTCTACCTTGGTCCTACTTCCGACACATTCTGCTAATAGTTCACCATTTTTGTTACTATTATACCTCTAATCTAGGTCACTAGAATGTATCTTATCTTTGTCCTTATTCATAACCTGAACTATTCCTAATATGGATTATGTTTTTTCTCTTTTTCCTCTCTCTCTCTCTTTTTTTTTTGTTTCTTTTCTCTTCCTTTGCCAAATCTTATCTGGACTCCAGCAGTAATTTCATTAATATTTAACTATTTATTAATTTCTTTTTAAAATATCCAACTTCACCTAGAATATAAATCCCCTGCTATCTAATACAAGTTTCCTCTTTCTATATATTTTGGATATAGAATGTTCCAAAGGACCTTGTGCTACAGAATCAGAGTCTCTAAGATATAGGTCCTAGTGTAATGTTTTAGGTCATTGATGGTAGGAATGGTAAAAGTCTATATTCTTTGCCTTTCCTTTCACTGTGATCAAATAACTAAAAAACACCTTAAGGGAAGGAAGATTTATTTTGGTTTACTTCTTAGGATATCTAGTCCTTCAAAGAGCAGAAGGGATACCCAAATACTGGTGCCACAGATATTCAGTGTGGGACTTCCCCTAAATTTTGTAGAATGTCCTCATGGACATACATAGAAGTATGCATCATTAATACCCTAGGTTTTACTTTATCATTTTTTTATATTTATCTATTAATTTTATTTGTGTGTTTGTGGTGTGCATAACTGTGTGCATATGCATGAACATGTAGGTTCCTGCAGAAATAAAAAGAGGGAGTTGGACCACCTAAAACTATAATTACACGCCAATGTGCATTCCTTAGTTAGAGATACTGGGAACTAAACTCAGGGCCTCTACAAAAGCAGCAAGTGCTCTTAAATGCTAAGCCATCTCTCCAGCCCCCTTCCCAGTTTTTTCTTAACATAATCATGTTGATAATTCAAATTAATTATCACACATCTCCATGTTCTTTCCTTTTACTTTGCTTTCCATGTACAGAGAGGTGCGTGTCTGTTTCTACCATATACTCCCCACTATGTTGTACTGCTTTCTTACCAACCCCAAAGCAGGGAGGCCAACTAACCATGAGTGGAAACATCCACAAAAGCGTGTCAGGGTGAACTCCTTTTTAAATTGGTTATTTTATATATTTTTCTACAACAACTACAACAATGAAAAGCAAGCACACTCTATCTACAATGGCACTGACTTCAAGTCACCCTACACACACACACACACACACACACTCCTAACCACACTGCCTGCTTTCCTATAAAAGTCATCCTAATGGTAAACCTTAAGTCAGTTCTCCTTTTGCTTCTAAAATTCCAGAGTCTCATATTTTCATGGCTGTCTCTTTTATATTTACTCAGTTCTCAGAAAAAGATAATGACCTTGGCAGGGCTTTGTATGACCGTTAATCTAGACCCAAGGCCTAGGGACAAACTCAAAATAGGGCCTTTTTAACTCTATCATTTCATAACAAAAGGTATAAAGGCAAGAGAAAAAAGTGAGGCTTAATTCAGTTTTTTAGAATAATAGAAACTCCATCCCTGAGGTTATAGGTTTCTTTACCTAGTCATTGAAAGTAAGTTTCAGAATTAACAAACATTTAAATCATAGCATGTAGGTACTTTATAATTCCTAAATTAACAAATTAATACTCTTATATGTGGAAAGAATCTAGCAAACTGCAAAGTAATTTCCTGGTTACTAAATTGTTAATAAAAAAGAACAAACAACTGTATACCTAGGTATAAAGAATACAAAAAGATACTAAATACAGATGAAGATATTGAGTTAAGCTTTAATGAGCAATCAGCAATACCTGGATTGTGGAAAGCTTTGACAAGCTTTTGGAAGCTCTGTATCTCCAACCAGTATAAGAAAACAAGAGGAGGGTTGGGTATCTGTAGGTGAAAGAGATTTAAAGCATAACCTATTTTTAAACTGAGAGCTTCAATTGTAGAGTGCAAGACTTTACTCTAAGGTGATAAAATGCTGTGAAAATGACTACTATAAGAATAAAGTTATGAGTAACTTTTATGAAAAATAACTGGGTTCTTTTTGGGATATGGGCCATGCAGGGGTATCAGAATTGGACAGAACTCTCTTTACTGACCTAAGTTGTGGTTAAAAAGTCAGTGTCAAAAAGTTATACCCTTTGGGGTGTGTGTGTGTTTGTGTGTGTGTGTGTGTGTTTTGTGTGTGAGTGTGTGCATACTGTGTTATCTCTCATAATAAAAAGGTACAACAAATGTCTTCAGTTTCTCTGAGAATGATGAGTTTATAAGATGACTGCAGTTGGACTGTAAAGAACGTGGTGTGATATTTGACTCCTTGAGAAACTTGAAAGTTAGCAAATGTCCAGGAGGCATAAGCAGGGATGTAGCCCTGTGAGGGTCAGAGTACAGCTGTGTCTTCATTTTGCTGCCACCTCTGTATTTGGAGCAGAGAGTCAGCTGGATATTGTATGGTGAACATTATGAGAACATTAAATAAAGCTCTGCCTAAGAGCAACTAGGGGCTAATCACTGTGTTTACCAAACAAAAGTCAGCAGGTATTCCAAAGGCTGAAGTCTGAAGAAGCTCCAGGAGATGCAACCCTAATTAGTATTCCTAGCTCTTCACCAGGACCCTAAAGGGAGGAATGCCCTGTGCTGCACTATCCAACCATGCCCTGTAGAGATGGGAAGCCCGATGCCTCTGTGTGCACAATTGTTTATAATATTGCAAGATGATACTGACTTCTCTTCCTAAGGCATAAACACAAAGCAGAGGAGGCAGTTCTCTCAGAGAGCATAATTACCTAATATTTCAGCGTAGGAGACGTGTTATGACAATGAATAAATTGACTTTCTCTAAAGAATCTACCTACAGTTAAATGAGTAGAGCAAAACTACAAATAATCCCTGGTCCAGAACTTGGAAGCATACTTATGAACCCCATGTCACCACTCATCCATCTGCCCCTTATCTCTTTTCCCTCCCATCAAACAGATTCTCATGTAAAATGTTTCGATGATGTTTATAAACACTCAGAAAAACAACACAAACTCCACGCAGTAGCCTAACAGCCCCTGACTACTTTCCAAGTTCTTTGATTCCCCACCTCTTGCTGTTTCTTTCTGTTCATGAGGATCTCAGTACTAACCTGTGATACTTCAGTGACTGGAGCTATATGTACTGGATCTCTGTGTGCCTGAGATTTTAAGTCATTCTGTTTCTATTTTGACTATTACCTCGTTAGAGAGTCTCTGAGAACTTGATTTAAGGAAAGATTTCCAGGCACATATCTCTGTAGTAAGTACATCATTACACTTTTGAGAACTGAGATGAAGCTTTTTTTACTTCTGTCTGTTTGCCTTTCTTCACCTTGTCGTCTGCCTTAACCTAAGAGAAAACTATACAGATGAAGAAATTGCTTGATTTGTTTCCAATATGACAAGAGCTGTCTTCTTTATAGTGTAGAAGTTCATGACTACACTACCAGTGGGTGTAGTACACTGAAGCTTTAGCCATGGTTTTCCTATAATACCAGTAAGAGCAAAGTAGCTTGCTATGAAGAAATCTATTAGTGGCACATAAAACTCTTTGCTCCCTCAATAATATCTCTTTGACATCTGTCTGTAAAGAGGAGTCAAATGTGCCTGAGATTCAGCCGTTCAGCCAACCCCAGCTGATGCTTATCATTCCCAATAATGTATTTTCAAACCAGAAAAGAGCCTGGTAAGTCCATCTCAGACCCATAGCAGGCATATCTAATAACCTCAGCTCCACACAGCCTCCTAACTGGAAGCCAGTGCTGCAACTCATTGAAATGAACTCTGTGCTGGTCATCTTCCTGACAGACTCTTTGGAAAGAAATCTTTAGCCGTGCACATGGCTGCTGTATCTGTTAGAGATGCTGCAGCAGACAGCTGATGAAGAACTTTTTCTGCTTCCTGAAAACCATATAAGATGCAGGAACTAGGAATATCCTCATTGGTTTGAAATTTGATTTCTGCAGTCCTCTTTTACACTTCTAGCTTTTTGAATTGCCTTTTTTTATCTCATTAAAACCACATGAAAATAGCATAGCTGACCTGTCACTTTCTATCCAGATGATGGTAGTTCCTGCCTGCAGCCTGGTGGGAAAAAAGTATGTAGTCTCTAGGAAAGATGCCCTGGATACAAGTGAAGCAAGACTCTGCTTTATCTGGGAAACAAAGGATAGTTAACTTTCTCCTCTTCTTCCTTCATGTTATTCTAACTTTTCTTGGCCTTCTGCTCTTACTCTGATCTACAATACTCTTATTTTCTATAAAAAAAAAATTTCTGAAAGAAAATAAGAGTATTCTGCCAACAAGCTGTCTTCAAAAACACAGATCTGTAAATGGAAGTCAGGTTTAAAAAGAAAAACTAGCAGTGAACATACTAAAGAGAAATAGAAACTAAGTAAGATGAAGTCTACGTCTTGTGACTCTTCAGCTTGTAAATAAAAAGAAAAGATCCCAAATTTGAGTCCTAGACCAGGACTCTGAATTCAGGCTGACATTTAAAACAGTATAAATGAGGCTTAATTAAGTCCATACACCAAACCAATTATAATTTGCATAATGAAGTGAAAACCTTAAAAAAAAAAAGCCAGCCCTAGAGGAATTGCAGGTGTGGCTGGTATCTTACATGTGCCTAAGTAGGTAGCAGAAAGGAGAGAGGCTGTGTCTATGCTCAGTGTTCTGACCTATAAACATCTGAATGATCAGTAGCCCAACATCCCCTGGGAAGAAAAAAATCCAGCAAGTATGAGACGACCACAAGTCCAGGATCAAGCAGGCCTGGATGGGCTTTGAGGACAGGGAGCAAGCCTGAGACTAGAAGAACTCTACCCTGGGCTTCCAGCCCTAGGCAGGAGTAAAAGTAAGAGAGGCAACCTTTACAAGGGGCCACTTGAACAAGATGTGAGTCTGAAATGAGCATGACCCATGCCTGGTGCCATTATGCACGAGCAAGTTATAGCACTCCTGAGAGGACTCCAGACATTCAGAGACCTCGGGCATCACTAAGAGGAGCTAGCTAGTGGTAGCGAAATGATAGAAAAAAAGAGACAGAAGGATGTAGGCACAATGTAGAGAGGCAGAACTGGAAACTCAGGAATAGAGAGGAACAACCTGATGTGAGTAGCCAGTGATGCCACCAGGAGTCATCTGGGTCCATGGCCCTGCAGAAGCAGAGGTTTGTTACTACCAAAAACCAGGTAGATGTCCTTGGTCTGGGCTGCTACAGGGAACATGTTAATGTCTGAGGGCTCTGTAAAATGAGCCCAACCCCTCACTTGAGCTTTGTGGGAGAGCTGTCCCTGGAGGCATGAGAGCAGGAGACCTGACCCCACTCCTTGTCAGCTGTAACACTCAGAACAGGCCCCGCACCTCACCTGGGCAGCACAGTCAGGGCTGGCCCTGAATGTGGGGGTTGCAGGTGAGCTGACCCAAGAACATGAGTATGAGAAAGCCAGCCTTGCCTCTTATCTACTGTATATGGTGTCAGTGAGGGGAAATCCTCTCACCTCCCCTTTGCCCTCAACACTCTTTGTGAGAAGAAGGAAGAGTTGGCCCCAATGGAGTCATTAAAGCAGGAGAACTGTCTCTTCACCACACCTGATGCAGCACTGAAAAGAATAAGTCCTGTACTTCATCTGGACAGTACAGTACAGATGACCCTGATGGTGGAAGTAGGGGTTATTCAGTCCCAAGGCTGTGAGCATGGGAGAGCTGGGTTCCTCAACTTGTCGATCATTCACCAGCCTGGGCAAGGGAGAGATGCCCTCCCAACCCTTGGCCTTTGCCACCTATGGCAAGTTGGAGAACTGACTCCAGGAGCATGAGAGGAGAAGAGCCAGCCCTGTCTCCTGTCTGCTGGGCAGTAATAGTGGAGGAACTGTAAAACTTTTCCTTACCAGCTGAAAAACTTAGGCGAGCAAGTTCTGTGCCTCAGTGAACACCAGGGTAGAGCTGGCCCTGATTCCAGAAGAAAGGGAGGGTTTGCTGGTGAGCCAGGAATTGTCTCTTTGACTAGTTCAGATACCTATCAGACCTAGATCCAGGACTTTGAATTGGTCTACTCCAAGTTCTGCCCCATCAGTGAATTACTGGAGTTCCTAAAGTGGCTGGTCCTACAGATCCAAAATTACAGGATCTCTATGATATAGGGTATCAACAGGATATCTGAAAGGACTCCTAGTGAGGTTCCAGTATTGATAGAGTAGCAGAAGCCAGGGGCCTTGTGACAGACCAAAAAGACATTGCAAGTAAAGAGTGTGGACAAAAGGGTGTGCAGTGGGGTAGATGTGACAGTACAGCTTCCACAAAAGGATTTTTACATTTTCTCTGATGTGGAAGATTGCAAGGATGGAGGGCAGGTATGAAGGGAAGGGAAGATAAGTTGAATTGAAATACATAATGTGAAACTCACAAAGAACCAATAAAAATTTATATATATATATATATATATATATATATATATTCAAGGAAGGATAAAATGAGAATGTACATGTTAGACCTTTGATTTACATTGTGGAAGGTAGAATTTTTCTGGTGGTCTACAGAGTCCCATCCCCACCCAGTGAAGTTTCCACCTATACTCCTTGCTTTTTGGACGTGGGCATGAACAACATGTAATATAACTGCAATGATTAGCTTACTTCATATGATAAAGCCTATGGGATTTTGCAGATGTAATTATGGTTATAATCAACTGACTGGCTTTGGCTTTGAGTTAATGAAAAGGGAGATTTTCCTAGTTGAGCATAGCAAATCAAGTGAATTGCTTAAAGAAGCTGGAGATCCAAAGGGAGACTCATTTGTTTGTCTCAAAGGAGCAAAGCCATGATGAGCTCTACATATTCAAGGAAACAAATTTTTCCAACATTCATGTGAGGTTGGATGAGGACCCTGAGCATCACAAGAGATAGACAGTAGGCCTGATACTCTGTTAGAAATCCATAAGCCATGCCATAGGTATCACAAGACAGCTAGAAGATGTTGTGTTTCCTGTTAAATTTATGATGATGTATTTTTTCAGAAACAGATAATGAACACAAATTTTGGTGACTAAAAGTCAGATACTGCTGTAACTAGAACCCAAGGATATAGCAGTGCCTTTATCATGAGATGATAGTGGGTAGACATGAGAGCAGAGTGCAAAAAAAGCTTTAGCTGCCTTAAACAGTTGTTAGTAGAAAAATGGTCTCTTTGATGGGCTTAGAAAAGCTTGGGAAGGAAAATACAAGGTGTTGTACAGTGGAGAGAAGGTTAGTATAGTGAAATTGTCTCCTGCATCTCTGTACAAGCTGAACGCATAAAAACTGGGCATTGTCCTTCATGGATGTGGTCCTTAACAATGGAGTTGACCAAGCTGCTCCTGTTTTTTCTTGTTCTTCATAGAAAAGCACAAAATGTGAACTAAATTGAGAGAACTGTTACAAATACAATATGGAATATTATAATTCTGAGAAGTGGTCCACAGCAGGTTTCCCACAGTTTGGAGGGTAAGAATGCTTTGCATTTTTCTAGGAGTTCTGCAGCAAGTCCTTGTAATTACTTACAGATCCCCCGAGAGAGCTCCAGTGGCACAGAAGGAATGCTAAGATCATTACCATGCCTAGCAGCACAAACCAGAGTTCAAGCACTTACACCCACTTATCTGTGGCTACTATTTATTAATTGTGTAAAGTCATGAGGCATTATATGTACACACAAATAAGATAATGTCAAGTGGGCATATCACCGATAGACAGCAAGGAAGAAGAGATGCAAATCCATCATGAGTTTTCCTCTTAGATTCAGGAAAAATTCTGGCATAGATAGTCTGTGCATGGTCCAAGGGATTGGGGACCCATGTCTACCCAGCACCTACTGGCTCACTGGGCAAAATTTTGAAAGAGATTCTTCTTTCAGGGTAAGGAAAATAACAACCTAGACTCTCCCAGGTAGTTCATCTCTGACACAACTGATGTATTTTTTTTCATAGTACCAAGAAATCACTCCATATCTCAAACACTGCATCCCCAGTTCATTCTATGATCATGCTAACAACTTACATGTAAACATGTTTACATGTAAACATAAGAAAGAGAGGAGGAAAAACTGGGTCTCCACATAGCAATCTAGGGAACTGTCACATAGGCAGGTGATTTTTTTGAGAGAAAATGATACTGTGTAATAGAAGATATATACTACTCACAAGCCTAAATTAATTACTAATTTTATAGAAATAAAAAGAGCTACCTCCGGCCCAAAAGATGGATTATTTTAGGATAAGTCAGTAGAACTCTGCAATGCCTTGAGAGTGACACTAGGGCTTCAGTGTTTTCACTAAGCTTCTCAGTCATCCTTACCACAGAAAGAGCATCTGCTAAGAAAGGTAAAGGAAAAAGAAACCAGAGCTTGAACAGTACTGGCTGTAATGATATGACAGTATAAGGGCTTATGTCTATTTCCCAGACTTTAGTTAAAACTTCACCTGACCTAGAAGAGTGGAAAAGTCATCAGATACCATCTCCTGAATGCTCTGAAGAAAGATGTCAGATAGAATAATTTCACTGGTGTTGAAAATAAACTGTGCTGACTCAGTGGCTATATTTGAAGGATTGCATTCTGTTGACCTTAGATGACCCATGGAGGAAAATACCCATCAAGAGGTTTACTTTTGTTTCCAAAGTATTTCTCCCTGAGAAAGTTTCCAGAGTCTTATACTATAGATATAATTAAACTGATAAAGAAGAGATGGTAACATCTTGATTAGTAGGAAGATCTTAGTCTTGAAGTCTAAGGCAATTCACTTCGAACTCAGGGAATATATTTTCTCATGGTATCAGAAACTCACTCCATATTTTGGACACTACTCAGAGTTCATTCTGTGGTCATTCTAACAACTATAAGCAAGAAAGGGACAAGGGCAACACTGGGACTCCACAAGGTAGATTTGAACAAGTCGTTAATCCTTTCAACCATTCCTTATCTTCCCATTTAAAATCTAAAGAAATCTGCGATAAGCCATTGGTTCTCAACAGTAGTCAGGGAACATTCAAGAAATTACCAAGGAGAAAGACCTTTAGTTAATGACCTATAGGCTATAACTTATAACCTATAACCTATAACCTGCATAACCATAGAGGCTGTACTATCTTGCTTATATTACTCGAACTGTACATCAAATGCCTTATCTAAAATATATTTTTTGTTGTTTAAAAATAGCATCTTTTATTTTCTGTTCTATGAGGTATACTCTAAAATTCTGTAGCATGTTATTCTCTTCTTTATGTCAACTTGATGGTGGATTTCTTGAGAATGGGCCCAAATGGTAATGGGCCAAGTCTGATGAAAGGTTATTGGATGTTAAGGTCAAATTTTGGATACAGAACGTACAGAAGTTTCCAAGGGATCTTTTTAATCTAAGTCTCCAGTACTCTGAGTCTATATACTAGGTAGCTTAGAGTTCAAGACCATGAGAACTAGGACAACTGTCAGGGTCTTAAATCTCTAAAGGTAAAACATGTGCTTATAGCATTGTTTAGGATTCTAGATTACTAGTTTCTGTAGAAAAGAATTAAGAAATCTAGATAAGTTGCTTAAGAAACAAGAATACAATTTGTCTAGTCAGAACACATTTTTATATTCTTTCTTTCAGAATAGGTGGTAAGTTTCATGAAAGGGAACCATCATGCATGATCTTTTCATCCCTGAAAATTTCCAAAATACAAATCCTACAGTATTGAATC